ATATTTTTTAATTCTTCAAAATATTAATAATTTAGATACATTTTATGAAATAGCTAAAAAAATTTTATGGCTACAAATTCTCTGTGGACCACTATAAATGCTATGTGGACCACATTGAGAAACACTGATTTAAACAAAAACAGATAGGAGGCATAGAGTAATGGATAGCAGCTCAGATTGAGGAATCGGAGAGCCGAGTTAGAATTCCATTTGAATCCATTACATTCACTTACATGCTAATACCCTTGGAAAAGGTATGAATCCTCCTCTTCTCCTCTCAGCTATGGCTAAATAGCAGGACAGATCGGGTTCTATAGCCTTGGATGGCAACTGGTCTACCACAGAAAGAAATGGAAACCTACTGCAAGAAAAAAAAACATGTATCACGCATGGCATATAACTGACTGATGCAGATCTAGCACGCTTTATTTTTAAAATGTTTTCTCTTATAAAGACATGTGCCAAATTGTTAGGCAAAACAGTTTGAATCAGAATGTCCTTCATTTGGGATGCATTTACAAAAGTTAACTTTCTCTCATATTTTGTTATTTCATAATGTCATTGGAAACTCACTTCTAAATGGAGAGATTTTCAATGATATATAATTAAAACATTTTTTTAATTATTCATACTAATATAAAAAGAAAAATAATACAAGAACTTTTATTTAAAAATAGCAGCATATTCTACATAGTCTGTGGACCAGCTTTGGTCTGCAGGCAGTAGTTTGCTAATCCCTGGAGTATAAAAATATGGAGACAAATTAAGTTTCTATTTTTAAAATGATAGAAAATGTTAAATATTTTAACAGAGAAAGGATACAGTTAATTCACAAAATATTTCATTGCCGTTGACAGTAGGTGTAACAACTTCTTCCTGTTACAACTACTTCAGGTGTTAAAGAAATAATGGGCAAGTGTTTTGCCTAAGTATTCACTCACCCACTCTGTTTTCTGTCTACTATTATGGCATGCTCATAACAAGATACTTTAACAAGAGACCTAACAGTGGTACAAAGTATATGAATGTGAATTCTTACCTTTCTCAATGACCTTAGGGCTTAGTGAATATCTTACTGCCTCAGTTGAAATTGGAACTCTATTTGCCAATTCTGTACTAATATAAACATACAATGGGACACTCACCCTACTCTATGTTGCATCTCCATTCTATTTGCAACAAAAACTATGAAAAGCTTCCTACATGTTCACAAGGAAATGAAAGCTGAAAACAAACACCATGGCAAGAAATAAGGACTCAAACCTTATTTTCAATATATTTAGGTGTTTTATTCAGGGCTTTGCTTACTCAATCTGGGTGGGTAGATAGGTGACATTTGAGACAACTACTAGACAACTAACAGCTCAGTTCTTTCCTTTGACACTTCCTAACAAATCTCTATCCATTTCAACATCACAATACATGGGTGAACTAACCAAGGGACAGTCTGTCCTCTACTAAGAGTAGACCAGAATTAGCTTCAATCCTAGCTGTGACTGTCAATGTACACCAGCAACTGGAAAACATCAATATCTGGTTTTGTTGTCACTTAACCCTAAATGTTTTCCTTTACTAATTTGTTCTTTTGTTCAGCTTTGGTTAAGTGGGTGCTGCTTAGAAGACCCAACTTCAAAGCTGGCTATAAAACACAGACACTTGAGATCAAAATAAAATCACACCTTCCTTTTCTATGTGGGTGTCCCAATCATAGTGTCACACTAATAGTCATTATGTTAACTTGCAATTACTGTATAGTAAACTTGTGGATAATCAATATTAACAAATAGAGAAAACAAAACATATATTCTCAGATGTAGAGGTTATGTTTTATTGGAAAGTAAGTGTTGTTGAAAAACTTGAAAATGATAACTGATTGGATTCTTTTCCACTTTTTGTTTTAATAACAAAAATATGAAGTCCAGTCACTCTATGAGTACTACAGGTACCATGTAACCCAGTATGACTTGACTCATGATCAGGTCATCAGCAACTAAATCAGCCCCCCCCCCCACAAACACACACACACACCAGGCTTTTCTAGTAAGGAGGGTGGCTAGACACCCAGCAAGATTAAAAACAAAACCTGTCAAAGGGCAAATGAACCTTCCTGGAGCATCAATGGATATCTGACACAATGGGGCAGAACGAGATCCATAGATATGTATGCAGTCATTGCAGTGATGAGAACATCACTGTGCTTCCTATACCAAAGTCAACAGCCAGCCAGGTTAGAGGGTTCTCCTGTGACCAGTGACCAATCAGGGATGGAGTGATAGAATAACATCTGATCATCTGTTATTTCAAATCGACAGAGCCACTGATATGGATAACTAGACTCCCTGGATAACTAGAGGATACAAGTTCAAATCTTGCCAAGAGCATATTCTCAATTTCTAATCCATGCTATTTACTGATAGCTGTTGATTAATAGTTGAAAAAGCTGTAATGAAATGCAACTAAAATTAAAATGTAAGAAATACTTGTCAACAATATAATTTGGTTAACTAAATTCTTTATCTATTAGAAACTGACCAACGACCACATTTTTGAGAAGTTATCAACAAGATTGATATATTTTGGATTAAATGTAGAAATACACTTTAAGCATTTCTTTACTCAAGCCTGTCCATCTCATTAAAGACATATAATTTTTAAATATATCTTATTTGATACCTTTTCTTTTGTTTATTCAATTTTGCAAGTTCTATTTATAATCTCGTAATGACAAGGTGGTGGTCAGGACAGATGCTTAAAATCTAGAAAAAATAGAAAATTTAAAAAAATAAAAAATTGAAAACTATAAATATATATATTCCATTCCTAATAATGTTTTAGTATAAAAGTGTTTGTTGGGATAGTCATATTTGTATTATGCACATTATTTTTTATTCATTTTGCATTTTCATAAGAAATGATAGTGAAGTACTTAAATAAAATCGAAGTTTTTTTTTGTTTTTAATTATACATCAAAATAAACTGTTTTCATAGCATTCATCAAAATTTATGAATTTAATATAATAAAACTTTTTCTTTATCATATTTTTTTAAATGCCATTTCCCTTCAGGACAGGCAATCATAGCTTTTTCTTTTTAATACCTGTGAATTGCCATGATTTCTTGGAAAAGACAATAGAATGGTTTCCCATTGTTTTCTCTGTTTTAAAGTTTTATCTTTACTGGCTACCACCCAAAACTAGATAGCCAAGTCTAGCCTGCTATTTAACTCATAGCTGTTGAGAAGAAATGGTTTCATGCCTTTCTCAAGGCAGTTGAAAAATGCATTACTCCTCTTTTTCTCTATAACTTTAAATAAAATAGAGAAATTTTTAAAAAAATACAAATATTTAATGTGTTTCTCTGGACATTTACTCATTCTACTAAAATTAACAAATGAAATTTATTATCTCATATGCTTCACACTTCAAATTCATGTGAAATCAAACTTTCCAATGATGATATAATAAATCTGAAAATGTCATTAATAAACAAATTAGGCTTTCATAACAAACAGAATCTTCAGACAACAAATTCTTACTAAGGGACATAACTCATTTATCCTTTCTATTCAATAACTAAATTTTAAATTACATGACAATAACATTGTTCTGATTTTTTTCTCCACATCTTTTTATCCTTTAAATCACAGGTTTGATTCATTTAAAATTAGATAAGATAAATTTTAATTCATTTTTTACGTTTATTTACAAAATACAAGTTTACATTATCAGTTTGTTGTGAAAGGAATAATTTGTATATCAGCAGAAATGTATATTAGTTTCTTTATAACATAAGCTTTATCTACAGACCTGTTCAATTTTGCAGTATTAATTTCACTGGCATTTCTTAAAATTTCATAATCTCAACATTTTCTTAAATATTTTAAAATTTATTTTGTATGGAAATTATTTTCAGAAAATATTTGTATTTATAAAGCAATCAAAATATTAAAGAAATTTATTTCATGAAACAAATTTTAGAAATTGAGAATTTTAAGCATTGAATTTGAATAATTACTGTATATTTCTTCATTTTTTATTTTTTCTTATGTATGAAGCAGTTGTTTCACAGCTTATTTTAATAGCTTAATTTCTCATGAGTAGAAATAACTATGCCTTTCCTTTGTCATTTGGGAAAATTCAAGTTTTTTTGTTGTTTTTTTAACATCTGTTACATAAGTTTGATCACATGCAAAATAATTTTACCATAGAGTTGTAACTATTTATAATAACTACTTAGAGTAAAAGTGTAGCTGATAATTATCTCAGGAACAATTTGTAACAGGAGCAATAGTTTATTGTTAACTGTAACTGATTTCCATGAATAAAATAATCTTTATGGATTTTATAAACTAATATAACTTTTTAAAAAATATCAAATTAAGGAAAGATTCTACAGTAGCAAGACAGACGTTCTGTAAGAAAAATTTCCTTTAATGTGCAAATACTGACAGACAAAACATCAAATATTTTATTACCTCTGTTTTTTTATTTGTCATTATTTTGTATTTTTTGTTTATTTTAACTTACTGTGCTAAATTTTCTTGAAATTGTCAAAAAATTGAAAGAAATGAACCATAGCTCATGAACAGATGCAAGAATAAACCGTAAAATTAATTTTTTAATTTTTTTTTATTTTAATTCAAATGCATGAGTAACTTTCTCAACACTGAGAAAGATTTTTATGATTCAGTTAAAATTGTTGTGTCTGTATATTTGTGAATTCAATTTTGCATAACTTAAAAAGCTATATAACTTCTTCAACCCATATTTATACAACAGACAAACACACATAAGGAAATGCTGCAAAATTCTCAGCCTGGTCCATTTCACAAAATCTGTACAAATTACTAAGTGTCAGAATTTCTTTTAAAAGAGGCTTCTTAATTACTGATTTTTTTTTTCAGTTCCTTCTCTAACTCTCCATCCATATATATATATATATATATATATGAGAGAGATTTTACCACTTTTTCTCATTTCATTTTCATGTTCTTGTTTCAGCATTGCTCATTCAAGCAGAAGATGAATATAAATACGCCTTTTATCTCGCTGGTAAGTAAATTATATAGGTATATATTTATATAAAATATATAAAATCCTACTCATTACTTTTTATTATTATAATTAGTAATAGTAGTAATAGTTACTGTATTGTTTTGTTTTTCTTTTTTTTAACAATCTTGTAGACTCAGTCCTTTATCCTCTGAAATAACACAAACCATTTTCCATTAATAACAATAATGTGGAAATTACTCCCAGATATATTAATGTTAATGATGAATCTTGGAAAGTATACAAATTTTATGTTAGAAATTTGCATACTTAACTTTAGAGGTATCGACACAATACCCACAAGAGAGAAATCCGAAAGTAAATTATTATACTGTTAGTGGAACAGCTCCTTATTTGATTTAAACTGGGGTAGATTGTTTCTCTCACTTTTCTATACTCCACTAAGTACAGTAAACCCAATTACTTTGAACAATATAATCAAATACAATTTGGCAAAATAGACGATAAGTTCAGTGATTACAGACCAAAGCAGAGGCAAATTTTAACACAACTGAAGAAATGGTTTTGCTCAGAATTGACTGAAAGTTATCCCTTTCTCATAATACCAATGTATAATCTATAGTGTAATTACATAAAACTTTATAATGATAATTTCTTTGAACAACCTAATCTAGAACTTTATTTTTGCAAAACAAAATTTAGCTGAAGTACCAAAATATGAGAGACAACTACCTAATAACATGTAGGTCCTTCTTTTGTCTGAATAACAGTGACTACATAAAGTGATAAAGTAATTGAATAGGTATATCTATCACACTACTTTTCAGATCTATCTGTAACTGAGTTATGTTTCTTGGGTGTAGTTACAGGGTCTTTAGTGACATCAGCAACATGTCCTATACATACAGAATAGGGTTTAAATCTGGCAAGCATAGCAGTCAACAGAGTACCTGAAAGTCAACTGAGTATTTCTGGAATCATTCTCATGTCATCAAGAAACATAAGGATGCAAATAGTATACAACAAAATCTGTGTATATCATACCTGTCAAAATAGCACACATTGCTGACAGTCTGAATTCACAGTCTCATATGTTCTCCATTGCATAATTTGAAAAGATCTGGAAACATGATCTGACTATGCAATATGGCACAACTCTCCTACAGGTCAATAGCAATTTTCTCTGCCCCAGGTAAAGAATAGTAACTCATGCTGGGGTGTTAATGATGATACCCTTTTTTACTAATATTCATCCAATACAAGGCCCAAGAGCCACTAAAGATAGACTTACTGTGTGGAGTTATATTAGTGTACGAAAGGACAAACATCAGGAGGTCAAAGCTGAAGCAGACTCTATAAGGAACTGGAAACCCAATCCAAAACAAGTAGCAAGGGATAAACCTCTACTCCTGTTCAAAAGACAGGAGAGGAATGGGAACTGGATGATAGGCAAACCTATCTACTCCTATTACAAAACCCCATGGAATACAGTATTTGCTGTATACTTCATTAACTAATGGGTTGATTAGCACTAACATTGAATGTGATTTGATGCAATATTCCCTTTTTGGGGTGATACCATCTTGATCAGTTATCAGTAGTTCTGTTCTGGCATCATCTTTGAATACCTGCAGTTTTTATTTGCTACTGACATCTGTCCAGGATTTACACATTCCTGGTATATTTTTTATTCTGTTGCCAAATTTGCTACATTGGAGATAATATATTAGATCTACATAGAAGCTAATTGCATTTAACTCAGTAGCAGAAGACTTGGTACATCTGCTAGTTAAAAGTGGTTCAATCCTGGTGCTGAATTAAGTTCTGCCAATTTCTCCTTTGTCAGTTTTTGTATCAGTTTCCTGGTGAAGCTTTTTCACTTTGAACAAGAAATTACTATTGCTATTCACTTCTTTTGTATTTTGTATCTGCTCTTTCTGATCCCAGCAATCATTCCATGGTCAAAGAATATTAAATCCTACCTGCGCCTCATGGCTTCCACAGTTACACTACCTCTTTATATATTGAATCACATGACCAAGTCCTTTTCTATAAGTAGGGGAGGGTAAAGCCATCTAGTGTACTACTGTCTCTAAATGTTGGGTACTTCAGTTTATTATGGTAAGAAAGACTGGTATTTACTTTTATTCTTACAACTAAACAAGAACAGTTGACAAACTCAGTTGATCGTTTTGGACTCATTTCTACTCAAGAGTAGCCAGAACTCTTGATTCCTGTCTTCCTTTTTCAAGAGGAAGCCCTTAATAAGAAGGACCACTTAGACTGCTTAGGCAGACGGCATCCAGTGAATCACTTGATGTACAGTAAACACAACAGGTCCTCTTCACTTTGCCATGAGATCATTGGGAAAATTGTTACATCTTTGTGTAATTCATGATTCAAAGTGGGATGTAGATTTTAAAAACTTGTGGGAGGATAGTGAGTAGGCATATCATTTACTATTACAAGTTTTTTCCTCCTACTTTGAAGTAATTTTTTACAAGCTATTTAGTAAATTGTTTATTTATAAAACTGCTAATTCATTGAGAAAATCAAATAATATAAATATTCATCAACTTAAATATTATTTAAATTTCTTTACATTTTTTTTTTCTTTATATGTATGAATGAATGACATCTATCTATCTATCTATCTATATATATATATACATACATATACATACACACTATAAGACAAAAGATTGAGGCCAACTGCTGAATTTAATAATTAGTAAGTTTCTTACCTTCTTTGGTTTACTTCTAAGCTAGGATACTGAAATTATATAACCCATTCGTGCATGATATCCAATTTTTTTAACATCCACCAGCCCTAACATTATCATTAACCAGCTAGGTAAATAAAAAAATAGGCAAAAAGAGCTAAAATTTTAAAGAAACTTTATGTAGTTAATATTATTATTCATTATATGATAAAACTATAAGACTATATATATGTGGACTGACTATTCCATCTAGCATGAAACAGACTGTCGCCTCTAAGTGTTGACTTTTATGTTCATTTTTATATATATATATATATACACACACACACACACAAAAAAAAATGTCTGTTTCTGTGTCTCTCACGTACACACACACTCTCTCTCTCTCTCTTCTCTCTCTCTCTCTCTCTATATATATATATATATATATATATATATATATATATATATATATATAGAGAGAGATATATATATATAGATATATATATATATATATATATATATATATATATATATATATAGATGTTCCTGTCACGTCGCTTGTGTGTGTATATATATCTAATTATGTCTGGGTGCTTATGTATTATAATCTGATTGTGTTTTTGTTGTTTTTTGCTGCGTGAGTTTAAGACCACATTCACACACTTTTAAAAAAAAATATATATACATGTATTGTCAAATGACCGGATATATTGTAGTGTCTTGTCGAACGTAATTTCAATGAAGAAATGAATTGAATAAACATATATATTCTTTCTTTTCTCAATAATTTTGTAGTTTTTAAACTTAATAGTGATTAAATTTGGTTTTTAAAATTGCCATTTTTTAATTTTAATATTAAATTTTATAATTATTAGTTAGTATAAATTATTTTTAATATTACACATATTTTAAAGATCTGAATAGCTATTATAACATGATTTCATTGTCAAGCTTTTGAATCTTTCTATACTTGGTTTTTGATTGGTTATTCTAGCTTTTGTAACAATGTTTCCCCCTAGTGTAGGATCATTAATTAATCTGAAACTTTTAAAACCATTTATTTTTTATTTATTTTATTTTCAACATCATCACTTGATAAGACACAGAGTGTGTTGAAACAAAATGGCTATTTTTGTAGTGATTTTATAACATACTTATGTTATAATTTTTTTATAAATAATAATTATATATATATATATATATATATATATATATATATATATATTCCAGACATTTTTATTTCTTCATGCATTATTTTTAGTAGATGTTCATGTTTGAAATAGACACTCCATTTTTTATTTTTTTATTTTTATTAAGCAGTTTGTATTCACACTTAAGTCTTAATAAAGAGAATGTACTTTCTCTCAGGGTTCAGATCTGCCAGTAAGCACTTTTTCTTTATTAAGATTTCTTAAGTGTGTGGTCCAATAAACTGTTTAGAATAAAAAAAAAATACAAGTCATCATTATCAAATACAAGTGTCCACAAAAATAACATTTTAAGTAATAAAAATGATGAAAATTTGTAGTTGCAATAATAAAATTTTGACCTTTCATGTCATTTTGCCTTGTATAAGCTTGCTAACTTTCATAAATTAAGGAGATTGCTAAAAACAGCAATTCTTTTATTAGAATGGTTTGTTTGAAGCTATATTCTTCATTGTATACTTTAATATACAAAGATATTTGACTGATATAATATATCAAACACTATATTTTTTGAGATAAGATGCATTTTATTTTTTCCTGATATTCTGAATCACACTTGATAAAATTTACACTTAAGCTTGGATCATCTATGAATCACCCTAATTTAATGGTATAAAAAACTTCAGGATAATAATTATATATAATTAATAGATTTTTTAATCCAACATTATTACTTATACTCTAAATGTTATATTTAGTGGCTACAGGGGTTTGAGTAGACATTCTTTTGTTTTTTTTACAGTCAAACTGGCCTAGCAATTATGAGTTCTTTTGAAGAAAATGTAAGGAGCACATTTTCTTAAACAGGTCTCTCAATCTCTAAGCCTGTAGATATTAATTTGTTTAGGAAAAAAATGTAATGTCTACTCAAACACCCACTAAATATAACATTTATAGTTTTTTTAATTATTTTTTTTTTTAGTGTGCACAAACATATACTGTAAATGCTCAATTTAATATCCTAAACATCTATTTAAAAATTTTAAAGAAAACATATTTTATTAAATTAACTTCTTGTCTTTAAACTCCCGAATCCAAATAAGCACTCCTTTTCATTTCTCAAGTGTATTTGTTTAATTGCCCTGGGTGCTTATTTGAGAGGAGCATTTATTTTGAATTCTTTGGCAAAAGGAGGGTTCTTGTTCAAGAGAAAGTGCTAAATCAAGCATTTACTGCATATGTGTATGGCCTGAAACTTGTGTTCAAGCATGAAACAGACTGTTGCCACTCAATGTTAACCTCAGTCTCCACTTATATACACACACAGAATTAGATTATGTGCCACAACCCTTGAGTTTGCTGTCCCTATCTCCACCTTACAAAATATTGGTAAAACGACCCTGAATACTGGATAATGTTCAGCTAAGATAACAATCACTTAAAAATACATATGCCATAGTTGAATTTCTCAAAAATCAAAAATGTCTTTCAACTGTGAATAATGTCCTGACATAAAAACCAATTTTATTCCAATACAGGCTTATACAGCAGACTCAAAAATCATGCCCCATAAAAGTGTCACCTAGAGTGAACTGCCCTCTACTCCCCAGCCACGGTAGTGTGTGTGTGTGTGTATGTATGTATATATATATATATATATATATATATATATAATATATAATTTAGGGTCTTATGTATGCACTCCATAATACAATAATCTTCTGAAAAGATTAACAATGCCATAATATTCAAAGAGCTTGCTGAGAATGAGATTTTTTTCAATATGATCCTAATCCTGACTGGAATAAGGGAATAATCTGTTTTTATGAACTTATTGCTTTTGTTTTCTTTTTCTGCTGTTTTTCTCCTGATTTCCTCTCAATATTAGTATTGTTAATCTTAAGTATATCATGAGTTATCTATATAATTAGGACATATGTTGCCAGAAATTATACAGTATTTCATTGCTGCATTGCTGTGAATAAAATGCTTTGTCATTTCTATTCCTAATATTATTTACCATTTTTATTACTGTTTATACTCAAGTATAGCACAAGCTTTTATGATCAGTTTTTTTATGTAAAAAATAGAGGGCTGCATTATACACAGTTAATCTTTTTGAAGAGGTTAAAAATCATGAATTTTGGTGACTGGTTGCACTATTCACTGGTAAATTTTTATAGAGAGGTTAAAATTCATGCAAAAAAATGTAGCAGTTACACTATACATGAATTTGACTTATACACAAGTATAAGTCAAATTAGTAAGTAGCTACACCAATATTTTTTTTGCTCTCATAATTTTAATAAGTACACATTCTTACTTGTTTAAGGAATACTATTATTCCTACTATATCTGATCTTTTTCATTGTAGGTGCCTGCCTTCTGACGAGTTCCACCATCATGGTTCTCTTCAAGTATAGACAGTGTGGGGTTCCAGTTTCTCTACCTAGCAGTGAAGTGAAGGAACCCCTGATGAATGCACAAAACGGTGCAGCAAAGTACGCAGATTCAACTACTACCTATCGGTACTATGATGAGGAGCATATGGTAATGTGAGTGTCTCATTCTGAAAATAATTTAAAACTAAATAAATACAATACGATCAATATTCCAGTATTTATTATACTGCACAAAAGCCTCACTTGTTATTTTTTTTCACCCTACTTTATCAACTTGCATGTAGATAAAATATAACACTGTCTTGTCTATAAATTTGTCACATCACGTCAAGAGTCTTGTAACCCATTAGGGTTGTAGAGGCACTAAATATATTTCAGCCAGAATAGCTGTGGTGTTTCTAAGACAAGATAGTCCCTCTCTCTTCACACTGGTTTTGAATTGTTACCACCTTAATGCAAGAAAACCCAGTCAACCCAGCTATTTAACCCATAGCTGGAGGAAGAAAAATAGCTCCTGATCTTTCTCAAGGGTATTTGTGCAAAAGTGATCATAATGAACTCGACCAGGATTCAAATTCATCTCACCAATTTCTCTTTCTGAGCCACTATTTGAACATCTTATAAATTTGTAGGAAACAGCAAAAGGATAAACTTGGATCACTAAAATATTTTTTTTTATCAATCACATACTATACATACTACTACTGCTTATTACTCATGAAAATACAGTAGTATGTATAGCTGATATTCAAATGTTCCCAAATTATTCTTCATACTTTATATTAATAAATCTTTTAAATACCAAAAGGAATTATGCTTAGTCAGAGTTGATCCAAATAGATATCTAAATACAAAAACTCTGGCTTACGTAGATAAGATTCTTAAAAGAGATATTAGATTACTATTAGTTGCAACAGTAAAATTTACATCAATTTTGATGTTTGTCTCCTTACCTTTCTTTCTATGCTTAAGGCTAAATAAATTTAGTCAAGAAATGAAAATCTATAAATTTATCTATTGCTAAAAATCAAATCATTGTATTACTATAGATATTAATATACTTTACACTTATAAGACGTTAATTTTTAATACCAGCTTGAATTTTGCTTACAAATATTTCAGGCTTGTTTCTGCAACATGTAAAATCTCTTTGATATTGGAAATAATTTTTTTTTTAATTTGATAAAAATAGAAAGTGACTATTTTTAATTATTTTTGTGCTATTAAATTAACTTTAAAGTGTTGCATCAATATCTTAAGCAAGAAAATTTTTCCTGTTTTTAAAATATACTTTTAAAATCCTATCTTTTAATCAGAACTCCAACACGTACCATTTTTGCAAGTGAGTAATATGTAACAAACCCTGGCAATCTTAATAATAATAGTACCTAATGAAAGTTACATATTAGCATGCCTTAAAATTTCTAAGGTTTTCTGGATGTATCTTATTTCTTAATTTTTACCGGGAGATTCATTTTTTATATATAAAGTATTAAGAATTTTAAAAAAATCTTCTGTTGATATAGTACCAGCTTATAAGCTTTTCATCCTTTGATTAACTTAGCTACATTAATCACTTAAATAATGAATATATTTACAATAAGTTCATTTGTTAGCTGCCCGATCACTTCAAAACATTAGAAAATAGTCAATTTAACAGCTTTTATATCTTTTGGTCAGTAATATTTTTATCTCTTTTTGTTATTGTCTGGAAATACCAGAACCCATTCAGCATGTAATACTGTCAACTATCAGTTATCAAAATAAAGCAATATAACTGTTGATTATTGATTTCACATTTATTAAAAACTAGCTTCGGCTTGTTCAGGAGTTTGAGAGTCCCTAAGTCTTTGCATATTCTCAGCATTGGAAGCTCTCCTGGCTGCTGTTTGATCCGAGTTTTCATTTGCATGGCACTTTCTTTTCCTCACTGCAGCCTTAGCTCTTTTAATTGCAATCTGGCCTCTGTTAGTGGAGATTAAAATTTTGCAAGGCATATTGCTGCTGTATGTGATAGGCAACAATAAACTACAGAACTCAAAATTGATTGGTGCATTTAAGTATTGCATTAATATCTAAGCTTACCTTTTAAAAGTTCAACGATAATTCTTCTGCAGCTGCTTAATTTAAAGACAATTTGATCTATGTAGGTCCTTACTTTTCATGCAAACAATTATTTTTATTTCATGGATGACCTTCACTGGATTTTACAATTAATTTCGATTATTCCCAAATTTATTTCCAAGTTATAAAAATTATTGTACAAAAAAATTTGTTGCAAAATATCACTTAAAAAAAATCACAGTAATGAAAACTTGGGAATCCAGAATTTTAGGATAAGCAGGTCTGGATCTGACCCAGAATATTTTTAATTTGCTCACGGAGTCGGCCTAATTCCAAAATGGTATGATATATTGAGCTATGGCCTCTAGGAGTAAAGTTGAGAAAGTGTGACACTAACATTCACATTTATTATATATATTAACTATGTCTATTCTAATTTCTTTTGTATTGTTCATTTATTGCCCATCCATTTTCCACTGAGTATAAGTCTGCACTACCCAGTCCAGGGAATGAACTTACAATTATTCTGTCACTAAATTCACAAACCAATGCTTTAATCCACTTTAATCCAGCATTTCTCAACTGGTGTGCCTGGGTGCACTAATGCACACTGAAAGGTGACCAGGTTAAGCCCCAAGTTAACAGAAGAGTAACTTATGAATTATTTTTACATTTGAAAAAAAAAATCTTTATTCTTAAAAAGCTAGCAACACCAAGCACATGGCTTCCATGTCTAAGTCAAATCTTTTGTCATTTGAAATTAAACTAGATGCTAAATTCCTTAATCTTTAAGGAGTGGAAATCCTTTCCCTTTTATCTTCCTCAAGGGACTTAAATGTCATTATCGGTCTCTCTCTCTAAAAATAAAATAGCAGATTCTTCATAAATCTCTTTAAATGAAAATTGTGCCACTATTCTTCTTTGGGAATGCTAAACAAAAATTTCATATTTTCAAATCTCATGACTAATTTTTCCTTATTAAAATTTAAAGTGCACCTTAGAGTTTTAGTTATTCTACAAGTGTCCCCTGAATTAAAAATGGATGAGAAACACTGCATTAAACTATATCCCTAAATATGAATTACAGAACAAAACAATCTATCACCATAGGTTCAGTTCAAAATTTCTTGAAAGTTACCCACACTGACAAACACCTGAAGAAGGCTGAAAAGTTGTGATAACAACAACAAAGATGAGTTTTAATGTTGTTGAAACTTGGATAAGCATGGAATAATAATAATACAACACAAAATGTACGTTAACAAAATGTATTGAAACAAGGAAAAGGTACACAATATTTACAGTTAGTTTTGGTATATTCTTGGGAAGACTGTTCCTGCATAATGGGTTGACTAAGTCGCAGTCGGGCAGAGTCTCTGGATTGGATCTCTTCTACTATCTCTTTTCCGTCTTCCGGTACCAACCCATATTTATATGGTCGGTACTCCACTTATGTAAATTAGGTGTATCGTACACAACAAATGTAAATAATAACTCTTCATCCCAAAAATTCAGATAGAATGTGTATGTGTGGTTGTTGGTTAGTCGAGTACAGAATTTTAACACTTAAAATGTTTGAGCAGCTTTAAAGTGCATTATGCCAAATTCCATTTAATATTTTGTCATACAATCTAAAAAAAATAATTTAGTTTAGAACAGATCATTTAATTAACATTTTTATCATGTGTTTATTTTTATTCATAAATATTTTTGTATTCTTCACTTTTTTAATGAATACCTTACTCTATCAATTTTGTTTCTAAAATCCACAATTTTCTAAAGTTATTCAGCTTCACATTTGAATAAGGAAAAGATATATTTTTGCCAATGATATATTTATTAAGCATTTCTTGTATGTTCACTACAAAAACTTCATTGACATACTTTAAATAACTGTTTCAGTTTTCAGTCCAGTTACCTAACTTTGATATTAAACATACATCTTCATTATTAATTAGAAATATACAACCAAAGATTTTCTCATACTGCATTTTGTTGTATGTAAACACTTAATAAGAAACATGTTAATGCTTACAATGAATATTAATAGATGAAATGTGTGTAATGCATTCTTTGAAATATTTAGCAAATAAACTTTGTACTAAGAAGCTAAAGTCAAGCATACTGTTATACAGCATTTGTTAAATTTGACTTGTTTATAATTTGAAATTGGACTTGATTTTTACAGTCTCTTTTTATATATAATAATTAAATTGGAATATTACTTTAAATCTTATAAAAATATTATGTGTTGTCTATTTGTATTGTTTTCATTGTTATCTGTAAGCTAGAGTTGCCAGATCTACCAACTCAAAATATAGGACACCCTATTCAAATTTAAATTCAAATGATTTCTAATTTGGATATACATATGCAAATTAAGTTAAAATTATATATAATTATCTACTAAAAAATCCTTATTAGAAATCATTTGAATTTAAATTTGAACAAGATATTTTGTATTTTCAGTTAGCAAATCTGGCTATCTAACTCTAAGCAGTTTTTATCCTAAAACTTATGTCCACAAATATTACAAACAAAAATTTAAGTTTAAGTTTTGATTCATTAATTTATCTATAAGATTGTTGTTAAATTTGAAATTTTGAAAATACAATCTATTTTAGTAGCTATAATACCAGCCAGAAAATGTTCACTCATTTTGGTTGGAGAAATTTATGTTTTTACAAAAATAAAACAAAACATGCAGTATGCATGGATTTCTCAAATTCCATAAAAACTCAAGGTAAAAATTGCTTAGATTATTTGAAACTCAATACACAATTTCTTTTAATGTAAAATATTTCTGTAATTTTTATCTATTACTGAAGTTTCTTAGCACAACATGATATTTATTATATTAAAAGCAATTGTTTTTAAAAGTAGGAAGTAAAATAGAAGATATTTCTATTACATCATTTGTTTTTATATGAGGTCTACTGAAAAGTTCTCAACCCCCCAAAAAATCCCTTCTATGAAAATTTTGTTGCTCAGTCATTTGGGAATTGGGTCATGCTGAGAACTTTTTGGCACTTACTAATATATATAACACACCACTGGATTCTGGATGGGATGTCAGGAGTGTGGGTCTG